ATGCTGATCTCTCTTTCTGTTCTTTCCCTCCTCAGATCACCGTGATCTTCAAGTCCCTTCCACGGCTGCGCCGATCAGAAGGTGTACCAGGCCACCACCGAAGATCTGCCGCTGGCCCTTCCAGGACGGGACTCGCAGCGGCGGCGAGAGCGGCAGCCTGACCATCGCCGAGCGCGGCGGCGGCGGCGTCTCCGGGCTGGGCCGGCAGGTGAAGATTCAGGCCCGTTACATCGGCACGTCCATCATTGTCCGGCGCGTGGGCAGCTACCTGACCTTCGCCATCCGCATGCCGGAGGACACGCTGGACTTTTCCGAGGACAACGGCGGCCTGCAGCTCTGCCTGCACGGCTGCCCGCGCAACGAGCTCATCAAGGAGCACACGCTGGGCCGCCAGAGCCTGCAGCCCCGACCGCAGGGCGCCGACGCGGAGCCGGGTCCCCTGCGGCCCCCGCACCAGGTCTACACGGTGGAGCGGGCCACGGCCAAGTGCCGGGAGACTCTGCAGGTGGAGGACGTGTACTTTCAGTCCTGCGTGTTTGACTTGCTGACCACAGGAGACCCGGAGTTCTCCATGGCGGCGTACGGCGCCCTGGAGGATTTAAAGGCGCTGCCGCCGAGCAAACTGAGGCAGAATCCCGCGAGGACTCCCCGCCTCTACAACCGAGCGGCGGCCGGCGGCTCCGTGCTGCCGCTCCTGCTCGCCGCTCTGCTGCTTTTGTAAAGAAATGATGTATAAATGATTTGACAAAAAGAGAAACCCGGAGACAAACGTGGAAAGCAGCTTGAGGAAAGAGAGCAGAGCTCCGACATATATTTGTAATTCTTTTTGGGGGTTTGTGAATGTTGTGATCTTTTTCAGTTTTTCTCATTTTGAAGGATTTCACACTGATTAAATGTTGTTGTTTTTGTCCCACTTGACATTTTTTCCGTGGGCTTCATGAGTGATGTCATCAGTTGAGGGTTCGGCCTCCGCTTCATCATGTTTCCTGCAGGGACGCAAAACGCCGCCTCCCGGGCTTCAATCGCCTCTCTCCTTTTTTCACCATACATGTGTTTGCATCCCAACCGTCAAACACTCCGCGCCGCGCACGTAACTCCACACTGTCCGCGAGCAACGTGGCGTCCTGTGTGATCCCGCAATGTCAACAGGACTTAACGCTCCCAACGCCAAGTTTTGTGTAGTCGGAAAGTCATTTCTTCTTTGATTGACGTGATAAAACGCAGGATCCAACAATTGTATGTAAAAACTACCTATATATCATGTGGCGTGTCGGTGTGATATTCAGCAGTTCCACGCTCCCTCTTCAAGCTGTTTGTCCTCCAGCTGAACAAAAAAAAAATCTTTATATAATAATATATTAAAAGAGTGTATATATGTGTTTTATATAGTGTACATTTGCCTGTATAGACGTTTTAACTGTAATGTGTTTTGCATTTGATGTTTTTTTTAGCAGGTTATTTTCAAACTAATATGCGTTTGTATTAAAGTGTTGGACACTACGGACTAAGTTTATTTTTTATTTCAGTAACTGGTATCTTGGACAGAAGGTCGAGGTTGTCCGTCTGCTCCCACTGTCCAGGTTCCAAACATATTCACGCTTCCTGAGACGCTAAACCCAAAACGCAGCGGACGACAAATGTCCTAAACCAAGACGTCCCATGGGAGGACAACCTGTCTGGTCTCCTCTCGGGGATCCAGACAGCGAAGGAAAGAAACAATTCACATCCTTTTTTTTTTTTTTTTATATGGCTCTTATTTCATGTCTTCTACTTTTAATCCTAATACATTTCAGAAGCAAAAATACATTTTACTACATTCATCTCTCCGGTACAGTAGCTTTTCTGCGGGGGGCTACGGTGCTTTTGGTGAGACTTCCCAAGTTCCTACACACCTCGTGGCGCTGCTGCTTTGACCCCGGTCCACCTTCTCCCGAGCCCCCTCATCCTTCTCACTCCCAGTGGGACCATGAGACCATGAGTGTGTAATACTGCGGCGTACTTTGACCTCATTGTCACATTAAACCATTTTGAAATGTAACTAAACCGCGTGTTGTCCGTGGGAATCCTGTCCTGTTGGGAAACAGTCCAAGGTAGAATTATTAATCATCATTAATGATCTCAGACGTGTCACATTTATCTGGCGAGCTGGATCACATAAAGGAGATTAAAACCAGTTTACAGCTGCAGCGCTGAAATGCAGCTACACCTTGTTCCACAGTACTGACATACTAGTGTCAGATATAAAAAAACACAGCAGCAACTTTGTTAGCTCCAT